GCCGAAAAGGTCATCATGTCCATTGATCAAACCGAGACACTCCCACTTGACAAATTATATTTGACAACAAATGTATATATTAAGTTTAGCATCATTTTTATTTGGTTCCAAAATTATAAATGAGAGTATCTATAGGAAGTTCTTAGATGATTTCAGTTTGAGTGTATAATCTTTGTCCCAAATTTTAAATACTTGAAGATAATTTCGTTATCCATAGAATGATTACAAATTATATTCTATCAAGACGATCTTATTATAAAGAACTCCAATCAAGCAACTCGAACGATGTGACTCTCTTATAGAGAGTCTGTTGTATTAACAGCATGAAAAAAGTGCATTACTTTACTTATGGATTGACCAAATGAGACTAGATTTTTATTTAAATAAACACATCCTCCTACTTAATATTTTAACGTAATGAACTTTAATTTTTAAACAATTAGCATTTCACGTTAATCAAATTAACATACTATTTAATTATTACGATTTTTCTATCCAAAAAAATTAATCTACATGAAATTAATCAACGAAAAATCGAGGTACAATGATATACATCCTACTCATAGTATCACGAGAGACGTCATAAATAAATTTACATATAATGATATCAAGAATTATAATATGAGGTATTTTAAAAAAATGTCTAATTTCATAGGTATCAATTGAAAAATGTCCACTTTTTAAATTTAGCTCTAAATTGTCTATTATGTCTTTTTATGAAAGAAGAAGCAACTTATTTATTTTTTCAATTTGTTGTGGATTTCGAGAAGTAACTTCCATGAGAAACTATATTAAAATGATGTTCTCGATATTTCAAATCTCATTCTCGATATTTAAATCCCGTTTATATTTTAAAAGTAGACATGTCAAATCACAATATTAAATATTATCGACATTTCAAACGTTGTTATCGACATTTTAAATCTCTAGAATGACATTTCACTCCGAACATGACAATGCTTTACACTTGAAATGTAATTCTCCATATTTCTGTATCAATGAGAAAAATAACATTAATTGTGATTGACCATGCGCACTTTTGAAATAAATATGGCAGGTTATGTGTCAAAAATTTATTGGCCAATAAATTTTTTGCAAAAATGTCCATTTCTTATCTTTGTTTGGAATCATTCATTGTTTATAAGGGTTTTTTGGACCAAAATATTTCAAAATGGACATTTTTGCAAGGATTTGTGAAAGTTGACATTTTTACAAATGGATATGTGAAAGTGGACATTTCAAACAATTTCCTCTTATAATATTTTAAACTATAATTTAAATCATTTATAAAGCAATAAAATTAATAATTATTTGTAGCTCAAAACAACTGAAGAATTAAATTAAAGTTTAATTGGACAAAAACCCAATGTTTAATATAAATCTTCAGCCCAAAAATCTCTAAGGATCCAACAATAGCTATCTAAATAACCCGCCACAGTACCTATAAAAATAAATTAATTTCAAACCCAACTTGTCCAAATTTGACTCGATTTATGAAAACAAATTCGGACCAAAAGTCAACATGAACTAATGTGACACACATAAATTAGGTCTGCATGCAGACCAAAATATATCTGCTTGCAGACGAAATGAATTATCTACCAAATTTCTATCTAACATAACATACAGAAAATTGTCTACTTCAGCAAATAGATTATGCAATTCGAAATTAAATTTTATTTTATTCTATTTTTACTTTTTTTTCTTTATTCTATTTTTTTTTTTTTTTTTTTTTTTTTTTTTTTTTTTTTTTTTTTTTTTTTTTTTGGCTATAATATCTTGATTTTCTTCTTCATGTTGAAATCTTTAATCAATTTATAAAATTTAACAATTACAAGAATTACATAATTTGTACATCTCATAGACTCACAATTTTGAATTTAATTAAAACAAAAATTAAATCAAAATGATGAAATCACCATCCACCTATCTTGTTACAAATTGAAAATAGTGAATTACATTAATAACTAGCCAAAAATCATTTGATCACAGTTTAAAATAATTCAATCATGAACGATCTAGATTGCGCCAATAACAATTGTTGGAATGCAAAAGTAGAATTACCCAGAAATAAAAAATAAATAAATCAATAAACAAAATCGTCTAGATGTTCAAGTGTATGTTATATCAAGAATAAAAAAATTCAAATTTTTACCTAAAATCGATGGTTAATTCTTGAATTAATTTCGAGATAAATATATATTTACCGAAAATGAGTTACCGATTGGTGCCCTACTATCACATGTGCGCGAGCCCCGCGTGCATTTAAAAAATCTAGCTTGTGGAATCCACCTTCCTACTATGTGTGTAGGTAAAAAAATTCAATAAAAATGTGTAAATATATGTAACATTGTCCTTAATTTCGAATCATGAACTTCCAAGTTTTTAATTCCAAAACTTGATACTTCAAACTCATGATATTCTCAACAATCTAGATTATACTGATGGGTGGACATTTTCTTTTAATTAAATCAAGAAACTAAGCCCTTGTTAAGTATTGATTTAAATTAGATTTTAATATAAGTCAAAATCAAACAATCAATATCAAACTTATTTTTCATGAATTCCACAAATTTTCAACCACATGCTTCAAAAATTTCTATCAAAATCCACTAAAAATTTTATTTTAATTCGCACCAAACAAGAGCTAATTCTTGGATTGAACAATTTAATAAGATAAGAAAATTTATTTTCGTTCTCTTTTTCTCTTTTCAAATTTGAATACTATGAAATATTTGTACTATAATTGTTCTGTCTTGTAGGATGTCTAAATTCCATCTAATTCCTGTTTATAAAGATAAAGTAGTACAAATTCATATACAATAAGAATTTTACATTCAAATAAGAGTTTTAATCAAAATTCAAATCCGATTAATTTATATTTAATTATATGTAATTCTAAAACTTCAATTACAATTATATTAAGCTTACAACTTTCATAACAATTACAATGAAGTATAAACCTTTATTGTAATTACAATTAAGCACAAGACTGTGTTATAATTACAATTAACTCTAAAACTATTATAATTACCGTAATTAAGTCTTCAATAATTCATAAAGCTATCGCATGGACCTAATTGGACATATATTATCCAAACTCTAATAATTAAATCATATGCAATTGACCTTAGACCACCCAATTTAATTATAGTCTCTATCCTTTCCATTAAAAGCAAAAGACCGAACCCTTGAAATATAGCAAATCACAAATGCCAATAAATCTATAATACTTTCCTCTAACTTGCTGTATATATATTTTATCCCCATCTGAGATCCGATAATCAGGTACAAACATAAATTGTCATTTTACCCCTTTAACGATCCTCACTAAATTAAGCACTATTTTCTTCAAACGATCCTGTAAACTAATCATAAATATCAAAATTTAGCCGTCACTACACACTAAACTCAAATTTGAATTGTTCAACAGAAAATATTTAAGTAGTCACTCTACCCATTTATAAGGCAACGAATCCCAACACAAATTCATATTCTCTACTTTGCTTATTTTCAATCTCCTAACTCATTGAGATTTTTGGCCAATCAAATTGATCTCATCCATTGATGAATAAAAAAACCATTAAAATCAAAAAAAAGATATATACAATCATGTCAAGTGATTTAAATAAAATACACAGCAATCAAATAAAATTTAATACCCCGAACGATCATGCTATAAAATTCAACTCGACACGTGATCCATATAATACACTTCAAGTGCACTAGTGTCGTCTTTAATTATTTTTGTGACAAAGACAACTCACAAATTCAAATAGAAATTGATCAACACTACAACCTTCTAATATAAAATGACAATCCTTATATATTGACTGTGAATAAATTATTTATGATCAATATATAAATTCCGTCACACCGTACTTCTCAATGCAAAAACCCAATTTGTATCATCACAAGTGATCATAAACATTTTAACTCACATGCTCAATGATAAATAAATACGATAAATAAAATAAACACAATTTTATTTAATATAAGAATATTGTAATTTTTACACCAATAGAACTATACTATATATGCACACATACCAACAGTAAACATAGTCAATTTTCTTTAGAGCAAGAATTGAAGCCCTCTTGCCCATGGGATTTTTTTTTTCTTTTTTTTTTCCCTATTTTTCTCATCATTTGACATTCGAAAATCTATCTTTCGCTATTTATCTAAAGGACCTCTCCCCGTTATTTCTAATTTTTTTCCCCAAAAACTCTAGTTTTAGATTCTTTACAGGCTGTTCAAACACTTGTCACCGAGGCAGGAAAAATCGAAAACTCGACCTTTTTTCAACTTTAGCAAAGTTGAAAGGCGAGTGGAAGACAAAAATCATTGTCCTCTAATATATTATAAATAAAATCAAACATCCAATACTCACAAGGATAATTCAACACTCATTTTGAGTTTGAATACCGAATGATATGAGAACTCAAATAAACATATACTATGTGTATTACCAGCTTGATTATCATGGAGGAACCACTTTAAGTTCATAAAACTAAAATCTCGAATAAGGTGCACACAATAATGATGCAGCAAAATTCATGTTTTGTCATCCAGCTGGGCACAAAAGCTGCTCAAATAAGTAGACATCAAATAGATAATCAGGACAACCGAAATGCTTTCTTACGAGGGTGTGTTAAGAGATAAATCTCACATCAAATATAGACATAAATTATACGTAAGGCCTTGAATTACTCCTCTTAATAAAGCCGATATTTTAAGATGAAACCCCAAGTCTACAAGCTCTAAAAATCAATTCAATCCGATTAAAACTCAAAAAAAATTAACAAACGAATTTTAAGATTATTTTGTTCAAAAGAGCCACCATCTTGCTAGAACATGTTAAGAGATAAATCAAACCTCAAATAAAGATGTAAATATAAACCACCATACAAGGACTGGCTACTCCTCTTAATAGATATGGCCTTTTAAGATGTATTCGTAGACTTAAAAGAAGGGAAACAAAAGTTAGATTGAATGTGAGATGAAAAGCAACGAAAAACAATGCATTATCTATTATAAGTGGATCAGTACTCAAAACCGAGGTTACAGTAAATCAGGAAGTTAATTGGCTAAAATAACCGGAAGAAAAGCATTAGAATACCCAACCACTAAAAAAGTAAAATTTCCAACAATGAAAAAGAAAAAGGCTTCGTTCAAAGCCAAGAACGACAAAAGATGACGAAATAGGAAAGAGAGATGGTGATGTAGCACTGGTGACCTGGCAGTCTCAGTCCCCCTTCCTCCTGAAGGAGCATCCCTCAGTGAGCCTAGCGCGGCCACCAGTTGGCTGGCATAACACCGTCTGGCAGTTACCGCAGACCACGACGGTTTGAGAGTGGCTAAAAACAGTTGTACTGCAGCAATTTATATACCCAAACAAGAAATCAGATGCCCCAACATATCCCATGTATTTAATCAATCAGCGAGATCAGTTCAATGAACTACAAAAAATAAATTAATTAAAGGAATATAGCAACTCACATGTTGAAACAGCCCTGGCATTTCACGTCCTATTACATGGACTTAGAAAAATAAGCATTTATTTAAATTGGAAAAAGATATCAAAATAATAGGTTACGAAGGATGAATTAAATACCATGAAGAAAGAATTGGGCGACTGAACGAGACGCTTGAGTTTGTGCTTCCTCTTCTCCAGCTCCACCGGCGGATGCAGCAAATCGACATCGTTGGGGAGAACCTATACAGCATCCGTACAGGCAAGTCAAAAACAATATTAAATTCAATAAATAAATAAAAATATACAGATCATTATAATGAGATAAAGAAGTAACTCTAACCATTTTGAGCTAAAGCTTTCAGGTGAAGAAGAGGCTGGCGCGCAGGAAAGATGAAGCCCCCGACGGCGCAAGAAATCTGTAATTGCTAAAATGTCATGTTATCGCTTTATTTATATGCCAAGGTGGAATTAGGGTTAAAAATCAGCAACTTAACCATCCAACGTGTGAGTATTTTCTTTTGGTCACTAATCCTTTTGTTGATCTAACTTTAGTCCCTAAACTAATGAATATGCTCAATGACTAACCCAAATTATGATTGTGAAATAGAAATTTAATTCTGCATTTCTGAAATGCACTTTTGGAATAAAACGTCAAAAAGAAAAAGGAAAAAAAAAAGGAAGAAAGAAAGAAAGA